CCCCCCCCCCCCTGTGTACCTGTGTATTCGTGTATATGCTGCGCTTTGTCCTTACGTGCAATAATAATAAGCGATCTGCGATGCACGAGAGCTGCTCGTTCGACTACGATATCATGTAAGAGGCGGTCCAGACATCGATATACATACGGTTTTTTTTTGTCAACGGAAATGTTTCCAAGGAGAAGAGAGAGTTTCTTTTGAAAATATACTCGACGGTTCTCGAAGATGTAGTCGTACTTTTTTACGAGCGGGATGAAACTTCGAGTACTTCAGGTTTTTTTTTTGCATGAAAAATATTGTGGCAATATTCATCTCGTGCATAGACGTTTATCAGTAAAAACGACCGTGTCTCTTACAGGCATAAAATAAATAATAAAACGCGGCCAATGGTGGCGCTTAATCGGCCGAACATTAACCCGTTAATAATCTACGGATTTAATCGATATCGGCCGGTGATTTTTCGTGTAATGAGTTCTACATCGCAGCGTTGTTACGTCTATATAAGGCCAATCTCCAGCCATGGGCAGAAATCGATTAATTTTAAAATAGCAGTTTATAGCCGCTAAATCGTGGTCGAGCTGCTGAAAATCCAATTCAAAACGAGACGAGCCAGCTGTTTATAAATAACTCAAAAAATCATCTTTAGAGCTAGTTTTCATCGTGACGTACGTGAGCGAGAAATCGATGAACTGATTTAATTCCGCAAAATTCGTTTATAGATACCGCGTTATAGCATAAGCGTAATAATTATGCGCGAGTGTCGGGAGCAACGAAACGTTTATACACATGACAGATCTCGCGCATGTATTTAAAACCACGTTGTATGTATACCAGTGACCTGTAAGCAACCTAAGTACGTGTAAAAAGTCGAATGGCGTTTAGGCTCTCTTACACTCGCGCGCGCAAAGGGCATAATTACTCAGTACGTATAAACGTATAATATGACCGACGTAACGAGCGCGTCGTAAGCTGTAAGCTACAGATTTTCCGCAATATTACACACACAGAGAGCACACGGGCTCTTTTTCGTACTCAACAATTTTACATACTCTCGGAGAAAAAAGAGGCTGCGAAATTGCGAGCTAGAAGGGGGGGAGTGAGGAGGGGTCAAATGTGTGCCGTTTTCAGTTACTTTTAGAGCTGTGTATGTGCTGCGGGGCGCACAGTGAGCGCTATAAGCGCAGATCGATATCAAGGCAAATTGCTCTCTCGCTCTCTCTTTCTCTCTGTAAGTTTCATCTACTATATATGTATGTATGAGTGCGGGTGTGCAGCGTTACATACGTACAAAAAGCCAACTTGCTTCTATATACATGCATGTACGTGCGGGTACGCGTATACAGTATACGCATATGTATGCAGTCCAAGACGATCGAGCGTGAGATTAATTCTTTTGTTCGTCCGCAGAGAGTACATTGAACGAGGGACTGCGCGAGGGCTCGGGCACGGTATTAAATCGAGTTATATTTCTGTTTTCACGACTGATTGTTCTCTCTATACATGCCGTTTATATGTAAAATCGACATTTACATCGGCATTAGCCTCGACATTTCCGAGCTTTACTTTTGATCACTCTGTTATTTTGTAATAGGTACGTGTTATACACCGCAGGGGGGGGGGGCTCCGTATAAACTCGGAGTCGCACACACTTACACATACACTCGCGCAGTATATGTACACATATATAAAGTTCGAGTTTAATGCCGCAAAGTTTAAATCGTTATTTAAACTCTTCAATTCTTTTTTCTCTTTTCGCCCGGCACTTTTACGATGAAAAATTGAAAGTAGGTACATTATACGAAGCAAAGTTCAACTACTACACGTCACTCGTGCGCGAGATTTTCATGGACCCAAAAATGTTGTCTCTTTATATAAAGTTGAGGTTGGGGTTTTGCGAATGAATAAAACATATGTCTGAATTGAAAGCTCTGCCGGTGGTGCGCGAACGCTCGTCATTCCTCGCCCCCAAGTTTTCCGAATAACTCAAATCATACTCGCTCCTCGCCTATAGGATCGCGAACGGTTCAGCAACAGCAGCAGTAGCAGCAGCAGGTCAATACATTAATGTATGTACCTAGAGGCAACATAATGAAAGAATAATTTAACATACGTACGGGAGCTTTTCGCCTCTTCAACTCCTTTCCTTGTTTATTCTTTCTTATTAATTCATGAAAAAATTAGTTAATGGCTCGTCCATTATATGTCATAGCCCCGTAGATTAACTATTTAACACGAGCAGCAGATGTATTATATTATACAAACGGTTGGCGCTTGCACAAATCTGAATTATTCAATTTTCGAATGCATTAACTCATTTTCTTGTCCCCGCGCCCGCGCTAAATTGAATATCTTATTTGAATCGTGATTAGAGCCGTAGCGCGGACCGTTTGAAAAGTTGTATGAGAGAAAAATACAACAATAGCTTAACGGCGCGCGTGAGCGCAAAAGGGAGGGAGAGAGCGAGAGAGAGAAACAAATGTCCTGAATTTCTCGAGAGAATTTTGTGCATTGTCCCGCGTCGAGAGTTTACTTGTGCGACTCGAAATAGAAAAATGTATATAAGGGAAGAAAGAGAGAAATGAATGGCGTCTATTCAAGCCTAGTGTTGGGTTTGGGTATATATGAAAAAAAAGAAGAGAAAAAAGGGAATTAGGTGTACGTTAAATTTAACAAAGGAAAAAATGCTTTTCCTAGTACATTTTTCTAGGTTGGCAAATACTCAAAATTTCATCGCGCTCTCTGGAACTTGATTCGATTCTGACCGACAAGTAGGTCATCAGTGGACTAAAAAGCACCATTGTATTCGTTTGAATAAGGGTTACCCGTAGTATTCTGCGTGAGCTTCCATTTTTTTACACATAAAGAGCATACGATTTTCCGCATTTGCGCGCGCGCGCGCGTGTGTGTGTGTGTGTGTACAGCACTTACCCGTGCCTCGCGAAATTCGAGTATATCATGATCATCCTGTTGGCCAGATCTCGCTCGCGTTCGGTGTACTCGACGCTCGTGTTGAGCGGATGTCCGAAGACGTACTCGATCTCGTCGCCGTGCATCACACCCATCCAATCGCCCCAGACGTTGGTACTCGATTTCTGCAACAGAATAAAGAAAAAGGATCGAATTAAAATTCATCGTACTATAATGCGTATTTGTGTACAGTTGAAGCGTTTCGAGCGTCGCTTCGGTGTTTATTCGGCCGAAGCTTTATTGGTCAAAGTTCACTGACATAGTTTATGGACCCCCGCAAAACAGTATTCCGAAAGCTGGAGAGAGAGAGAGAGGCAGAGGCGCACGGAAAGTCACCGACGCAGTTCCAACATATGATATATTCGCCTAAATGAGTTTCACCAAGTTCAGCTCTTATTGACTTATCAATGAACAATTAGGGCTTTTCGAGGCTTTATACCGTATAGTCGCTCTCTCTGCGACTCTCTAGTCGAAGGTTCAATTATTTAGCGGCACTTGTGGCTGTTGATCGCTTTCGATGCTCTATGCATCGTTTCTCTCTCTTTCTCTCTACCTCCTTGTATCAACTAACGTAGGCAAATTCGGGACTTGAATTATGTGAATATTCGCAGTAATTACTGGCTCTATTTGTCCTAAATTAATTCATGGTTTTCCAGTCGATCTGCTTACATACGGACGTAATGATGATATTCTCTAGTAAAAAATCAACTCAGTGGATTTATTTTTCACGGATTGTAACGTGCGTGGTTATATAAAACGAAAACTTGCGAAACTCGTTGCAGGTAGAAAAGGGACGGGCCCGAGTTCATTATTATTATTATCATCGTCGTGTTTCGAGGTAAACACGCCACTCGCGCGCCCCGTGCTCGTTTGCCCAAAGAATAGGAAGAAAGAGCGAAGCGGAGTTGCGTTAATTATCGTCGTTTTCTCAAAGGGAATACGAGAATAATTCGCTTTTGCGTGTATTTATTGTAATCTTTATCAACTTGTTTATGAAGTATAAATATACGTTCGTGCTTGCACCCCGGCTTCTTTGAAGGTTAAGTTAAACACGGCAGCGTGTGCCGCTGTACGTTACTCGGAAAATTCATAGATATATACGCTTTATGTGCCTGTGTGTGTATATAACAGCCCTGCGCGTGTAGTGTAGGCCTTTGTTTGCGTTTATTACAAAGGAGGCTGTGTGTACACTACCTACCTACAGCGTTTGCGCCCAAGCCCGCGGAAGTTTTATAAAATTAAGCGCGCGCGCGCGTGACATTTAATTGGAAAATAGCCTCTGCCGCCACGAGCGCGCGTAAGGAAATAATTAAGCATGGATAATCGCTCGAGATGAAATTGTTATGTATATTTCGACCGGTTAATGAAAAATAAAGCACGCGGGAGTTTATGTGTACACGTGCGGTGTAAATTATTAATTCGAGCTTGCAGCGCAAGCTGCGTAAGTGTGCGTGCCACGCTTGCGTTTTATGTACATACTGTCGCGTATCATGAATCTTCATTATAATAAGAGAAAGAGCGAGTATATAAGAGAGAGAGAGGGAAGGTGCTTTTATTGGCAGGAATACACTGGCACGCACGCAGCGTAAGCGAAATCTCCCTCGGCTTCTTGTCCTAATGCTTCTAATGCTCATTTGTTGCTTATACACGGGCGTGTTGTGTGCGGCGCAGTGCCTGATAGTAACGACGATAGCAGCAGCAGCTGCTAGTGCCACTGCTGCGCGATGTTCGTTTGACCTCCTCTGGCTCTGCTGCTGCTGCTGCTGCTGCTTCTATTGCTTAGACTGCAACACACCTCCGATTTTATACATACACGTACAGCGGTGGTATGCACAGGTGGTGGTTGCGCGCGTGATAAAGTACACTATTCGGTCCGTACGATGTCTATCGGTGTGTGCAACGCGTCGACGCGTTTGCGGAATCGCACGCCGAGCTAGATGCGCTGCGCTCTGCCCTGGCGCACCGATGGCAATTCGCAGCGGGAGTCGGATACATTAAGATTAAGCTGCTCTTCGGCGATGAACTTGCTGCCTTGCGTGTATGTGTGTCTCGGTCTGTGTATATACGTGTGTTTGGTTGACTATCTTACACGTACCAGGATAAGGAGTTTATACAAGGGACGTTATTTCCGCGCCCAAAGTAATGAAGCAAGGCTAGAAGCGTTATATGCGCTATACGCTCGGCTCCTTATGTCTTGGAGCTTTTGACGAGGAGATTTGATGAAGTTGCTCAAAAGCAGCAGCTCCACCAACAGATTCCAACTGATAAGCAACTTTGAACGATGTCTCAATTTTCTCCGATCTGCCGCCGCCCCGCGTAACCATAGACGCGATTTTGAAAATTTTCCACGCGATGTTTTTAATTCAAATTCATCGCTGCGTTTATAATTCGCGATACGCGTGCTATAGAAAGTAATTACGTTGCTTTTTGTGCGCACGTAAGTATATATCGCCGGGGAGAAAACTGTACTGAGACTTGTTTTTCCTACAGCTCGAAGCGGCGAATTATCGAGGTAAATTTTACTAAGCCTCCGCGTGCAAAGCTGAGAAGCCACTGGCGCGTATAATAAGTCGCTTTATGCATGCTGAATAATTAGCGAAACGCACCGAATGCGTCCATTTTATATACATCTCTCCGCTTCAGGGCCGCTTCTTCTTCTGCTTCTTCTTTTACTTCTTGCTTCAACCGACACTTTTCCTTTTAGGTCGAAGATTTTCCTTAACAAGCCGCTAGTTCGCCGTAAGACGCGTCTGAGAAAACGTCGAGAGAGCAGAATAAAAAGAGCTCGGACGAGCGAGAGAGAGAGAGAGAGAGAGAGAGAGAGAGAGAGAAAAAGTGCCAGTGGAAAATTTGTTCAGGGTTATAACGAGTATGCAAATGAAAGACTAATGGGCACGCGCGCGCATTCGAGTTTCACTGAGACTACAAAGGGAGGTTGACTCCGAAAAAGCTCACACACGCAGCAGCTCGCACGGCCGACGCCGCCGCCAGCGCGAGCGCCTGCCTTATACTCTTTCACTTTCGGCGTGCGCGCGAGAGCTCGTCGTAATAGTTAAATGCATTTTGCTACCGTGCGAACTCGAGTCTACTATCTACTATATATTATAACGTATATGTATATACGCTGTGCAGTGCCATGCCATACTACAGTCCGAGTTGTTTTATGTGCAATAACGCAGGCATCGAGCATCGGTGTTTTTTTGCTGGTCAGCTCGTTTATTTCACTCTTTGTGCTGGTATGCTCCTCGAAACGATGCGATGTTCGAGACACTTTTAGGTACATTCAAGCTGTTGACTTAAAGGCGAAAATGAACAACTAACAAATTTGATTATCAGATCCTCTTGTTTTATACATAGTTATCACATTTGCTACTTGCGAGTAAACGAATTTTGGCATGTACGTCATATGTTAGTAAATTGAACAATTTAAGAAATTGAAAATTTAAGGTTTGCCTGCAATCTTTTCAACCTCAGGTGAAAATAACAATGTACTTGCTACAAACATAAAATCAATTTTACTATTCGCTCTAAGCGAGAGAGAGGGGGGGGCAAAGGAGCTTTGGAGTCACCATTAACACGTAGTCTTACGGAAAGACCGCCGAAAACCCGCCAAAAATGCCAGCGTCTGGCATAAAACTAAATTTTTTTTACGAGAATGAACTTGAGAAAGCGCGGCACTGCGGTATCGGTAGCAGACAATTTAAACTACAGTAATTTTCATAGCACAGTTAATAATTTTTAATTTTTAATTAAAATTAAAGAAATAAAACACTCATTGCAGAAAAATTTTTATTGCGCTTCAGATTGAAAATTTGTTGGCTGATTTTGTAAAACTAATTAACTATTTTTCCTGATATTTTTAATTAACATCTTGATGAAAATGAATAGTTTTCCAACTTGCTTCATTTATAGATGTCGTTCAAACGATATTCACAATTTTATCTGTATAATATATTTATTCGCATTATAAAATTGATTCACAATAAACCGCATTACTCATATCATTTGATATCTCTTTAAACTTGTTTGAAGATAAATTTTCTCGACTATATTTAATTACTAAGATTTGAGCATTTTCATGCATTCCTCGTCGCTTGGATAAGCTTCGAGCGTCTCTTGTAAAATTTTGCACACTCACGAAGACCTTCTCTCTCTCTCACTTCGTGTGTCTACCTCTATGTCTCTCTGTCTTTTCCGTGAAGTTTCAAAACAAAATACGTGTATACACGAAAGCTTCTCCTAGCTGCGCCAGGTGCAGCAACAGCAACAGCGGCAGCGGCGAGCCGGGGTTACTCGCGTTAATCAACGCTCGAGATCTTGGCTAGCCCGATCGGATATTGCATTAGCCGCACACGCTCACCTCTGCAACTGACCATTGCTGAGACGGCAACGGTGGTGCGCCTCGACTTACTCTCTCTCTCTCTCTCTCTCTCTCTCTTTCTATATATCCACTGCGGCCGAATTGCCTCTAACTCACAAGCTACCCATATATACATGTATACACAGCACGTATTTATATATATTTTGTGTACGCTACGAGTTTGATACGGAAGGGATGTGGCTGACTCCGTGCACCGCTCGCTTCTGTGTATGTAACTCGAAAGCTAGTTTCAACCAGATATTGTTAGGGTTCTCTCACTGGCCGTGCACTATATACTCGTGCTGCGTATTATCTCGCATGGTCGCACTCCGACAGAGAGAAAGACAGTCAAGCTCCAACTGAATATATGTGCATTTGGATTTCAACGCAAAAGACGCTGTTCATTTGCAATATTTACGCTGAATTATCGTCAAAGCTCGACCTATCTCTCTCTCTCTCTATATGCTATATTTCCATTTTGTGTGCAGCCTGCCGCAAAGCTCGCGCGCGCGCACTCCGCTCGTTAACGTAAATAAATCACGCGCGTCATTGCTGCTGTGGGAACTTTCCAGTGAGACTCTCTCGCGAGTACGTTGTATAACATAAAAAATTTAAACACTCGTAGGTCGCGCGTATACATGTATAGAGATAGAGCCGGTGTACAGCTGCAGCTGTTGTATAGTAGTTACTGAACACTAGCTAGCTAGTGCGCCGCGGACATGAATGAGTCGAGTCGGAGGGCAGTATAACTTGGTGCGCGCAGTA